AGAGGCGCCATTTTTGTAGAACAAAAGGCTCTTGTTATGCCTTCCCATAGAACAAAGAAAAAAAAAAAAAGTTTTAGCAACAGAACAAAATATTTCGCTGCTGAGTGCTGAAGTACCCGGATGAATTTCCGTCGTCTGCTACTCGATTTGGTGAGATGGTCTCTCGCAAGCTGCGGGTAGGTGCTGCCATCTGTTGGAGGCTGCCGCAAGTCCCCCCCGAGATCCTGTGACGTCATTTGCTTCTTGCTGTCGTGGTGCAAAAAAGATGTCGCTTTTCTGGTTTCCCTTAACTTGTACGTTGACTTATTGGAGGTTGCACTGTTGCACGACACAGCAAAATAGGCATTTCAAGGAGACGATGACGGAAGTTGAAAGGACGTTGACGTGGCGGCCCACATACGCATCGACCGTTGATGTCGTCTGCACTGGAGTTCTAGCCCCGCAGTGTCGTCTGCTTTCAAAAAGTCGCGTCGTCCGTACTTCCGTGCGAACAGGTGCCGTGCTTGCACCCTTCCAGTGCAACAGATAACTAAAGACACAAAATAAAAAGACAGGATACACGCCGCGTGAACGTCGGGCCATGGCCGGAACCTAAAGGAGTAGATTAATGGCATAAAACAAGCGAGAAATAAAAGGAAGACGATGTAGAGGTGCAGTTGGCGGTGGCGCGAGCTTTCACAAAATGGCGCCGTCTTAGAAATTTCCGTCGTCTGGCAAGCGGACAGCGGTCGGCAGGGCACGAGTTGTCAGCTGCCTAGTGTCAACATGGCGTCGCGACCGGGCCCGAGCGAGGTCGAAGTGGCCACCACCAAGCTCATCGGCTCTTCGGCGACTGCCAAGCCGTCGCTGGCCTACAAACATCGGTCGCGGTTCGAGACCTCCAACTACGGCGTCGTGTACGTCCGACCTCCGAGCTGGAAACCAGGTACGCGATTCCGCAGAGTCAGTCCAATCCAATCCAATCGAATTGTCTGCAATCGGTGTCTGGTTGTAGAACTCAGACCGTCTGCTTTCGAGTTCGCGTAAACGGTATGTCGCTTCGCTTTCCAGTCGCTTTCCAGTGTAATATCGGCTTCTGTCTCTCTCTCTCTCCCTCTCTCTCTCTCTCTCTCTCTCTCTCTCTATATATATATATATATATATATATATATATATATATATATATATAATGGGTAGAAACGAATTACTGGCGCATTCATTCGGTCGTCTTGTTCCATGCAGTTATGTCTTAAAATCAATATGCCGACCTTGACTTTTTTTTTAATTCATTGCCAAACGAGTCTGTTGGCAGCTTGCTGCGTCACACACAGGTACAAACATACACACGTCAATGTATTGACTGACGTCTAGTGACCTATAACTCCCACCCCCTAGGACAGCACAAAAGGCGCTCTAATCGCCCCCCCTTCCCCCCCGGGGAACTCCCGGAGGACTGTAATTAAAAGAAATCGAGGTTATTTTCTTTTAGGCAATTATTGAGTCGGTCAATTGCCCCAGTCCTCGTCGAGTTGATTATGTCACCGGCAGGTATTTATTTGGGTCGCTGTTGCTCCAGGCGACGGGGTGTGTGCCAATTCGACTTCCCAAAATCCTTCTCTCGTTGTTATAAAAAACAAAAAAATATATATTGGCGTGGAAACATCGGACGGACGTTGCTTTCGCCTCTTGTTTCCTGCTTGTCACTTTCCGTTTCCTTTACCGGTTTTCAGCGTGCAATAAATGCTCAGAATGCGAGGCGGAAGAAACTGACCACGAAACGAAATACACAAATAACCTAACCTTCAAACTATTTTTTTAAATTGTTTTACTTTTGGTTTGCGCGCGCCGCCGAAAGCTTGGTTTGCTGCAGCGCACCCGTGTACTGCGGGAAAGTGGGCGCCTGTCACTCAAAGTCGCCACCGTTACCACAAACGCGCGCGCGCAAGAAAATAACTCCACGAGAAAAAAAGAGATAAAAAAAACAACTGATAATTGCGCGACTAGGGTGGCATGTCCCGGCAAAATCAGTCGGTTGATACTTAAATGTCGGCGTGAATTCGACTGCCAGGATTGTAAGCGACAGAAAATGGCCCGCATCGGCTTGTAAACAGCTGTGCCGCCATGCTTTCCCAAGGTGACCTTGAGGCGGGGCATGGAGATGGGCAGACTGATGACGTCCTAATATTGACGTCACAGCCCGTCGAGTTGTGGGGCCACGCCCGTACCGAAAAATCGACGTGTGTTGGAGCACGGATGCCTCGTTCTCTCCGGCTCCGTGGCTCGCTTCTATTTCGGCCGATCAATGCGGTCAACGGACTCTGTATCCGGTCTTTCGAGTCGCCCCCTTCTCGATCTGGGTCGAGCGTTTCGCCACTTTCATCGTATAATTATTATCGAGCGCTCTTAGCGTTAAATAAATTACCGACACATTTTGTTTAGCGCACAATCGTCGAGGAACGAGAGCGGAAGAAAACGTCGTCTGCTATGGCAGCCATTTGAGCGGTTGACGTCACCGCGAAGCTGGCTTCCCATTGGCGGTTTCCCTCTGAAGCCACCTCCGCTTTGCGAACGCAGCCAGGGGTGTGTGTCGGGTCACGTGACTGAGAAACGCCTCGTGGTTGGTTTCCGCGCGGGGGGTGTGGTGTTGTCCGGAGTTGGTTTCATTTCTTGTTTTTGTTTGTTTCTAGCGTCCGCAGTTGTCGTTGCTCGGTTCAGCTGCCGCTCCGATGTTGTTGTTGGCACCCCCCGCTGTGAAATGAAATTGATTCTGCGGTCGCGTGTCTCGAGTCCCGCCGGCACCGTGGGAGCCTAAAGAGTTCGCGTTTCCTTGGGTCAGTGTAAACAGTTAGGCTTTGAGATAAAAGAAACGACAACAAATCGATTAGGATGTTGGTGGACTGGGGGATAGTGTCATCTCATCCCATCATGAAAGAGTTCCGTGCAAACAGAGGTGAGGATTCGTTTGTTGCTTCCTGGGCTGGATTTGAACCGCACGAAACGCCGCCAACATCGTCGTTGTAACCGACGTTGCAACCGACAAACGACAAGCGTCGACACTTCTGGGGTCGGATATGCCTTTTCCTGTACTCTTTCGAGTATCGCATTGCTGTTCTTCGATCTCGCTACTGGTCTTTTTGCCCGTTCTGCTAGAATGTTTATTTCGAGGGCCCGAGAACAACAATAAACTGCGTGAAGCGTCCTTCCAGTGACGGTGAAGTCATCAGCCGAACCGGCTGGGTTAGTTTCTAAAACTTGAAGTCCCTGAAACGTTGGCTTGCCTTTTCAGAGCACGTGCGACTAGTGGCTGTTTCGAGTGCGTTAGTTATAGTGTGTCTGTGACGATAGACTAGCACCTGTTTGGTCGTCAGCTTAAATGAGTTGGATCTCTGAAATTTGGCAACCTCCCCTGTCGTTTTGGTGCTCTTGTTTTTCGTTTCTTTTAGAAGCTGTTGCGTCATCCGAGTAATTATAGAGCCGGGTTTACAGTGTGTTGGCGCGAGTTTTTGGTCCTCGAAAATAGACTTTAACCCTAGGGCATTTTGCTCTGCACTGACGTTGTTTTTTTTTTTGTTTTTTTTTCGTCTATTTATAAGTTACATATTTTATACTTACGTTCATGTTTCTCTGGAGTCTGATACGATCGCCATAGTAGCGTGCGCGATATTTTATTTTAGGGAGGAGCTGAATTACTAAGAAACGCAGAAAAAGAGAGAAAAGCCTGAATATTTCAGTTTGTCTGTTTCTGTTATTAAAGTAATACATTGCTTCCAAAGGGGCACTTAAGTGGCCTTTTAATTTTGATTTATTTGCTGTGGCGACCACCAAACTCGTCATTGTCAACATCTGAAGATGGCATCCCATTAAGGGAAGAATCGAACAGAGAAAACGCCAGCAATAAATTTCCGGTCATTATACGTCAAATCTTAGATATGGGAAGCATCCGACCCCTCTCAATAATTTCTCGCGGATATCAGTAGCAAATACAGCACACTTTTCTCGGCAGATGTACCGATCGACATTGTCAAAACATGGACTGCGGCCAGTCCGTAGGTGTGAAAATGATATTTTTAGGGGTTCACGTGGCAAACAAGTGCAGGGCGTCTTGCATGCCCCACCAAAGGACTGAATCCATATATGGACAACCTGGGAATATTTTCACATGCATTCACAGTCAAATGATGCGACCAAGCATGCATTGTATTTTCTTGTTTCAATCACATTTGGTACGCAGGCATTTTACGGTCCCTCGTAAATAATGACTGTAGTTGGCGACAGGCTAAGAATGCACTAGAACTTCCATCTCCAGCATGCAGTTGTTGTAGTCGGGCTTTAACTGTGCCAAAGTGTTGCCAAAGCCAGAAAGGAAAGCTTGCTCTGGAGGCTGTCTACTTCATTTCTAACTTGTCAGTGACTGCATCTGAATCTGTCCCCATCTGTCAGTTTTTGGGAGTTCACTGCATTGCTCATAGTCATAGATTTTTTTTCTTTTTTGTCGTGGTTTTTTTTTAGTGGCACTATATGAGAAGACAAGCCGATGCATACCCTGCTTCGTCGGCGCTCGGCAAAGTGTTAAAGCTACGCTCTCCGCGAGCCAATTAGTGTGATGGAGCGAAGGTCGTGACGGCTATTAGCAGAAGTGCACTTTGACAGAGCGTTGTTGTGTGTGTTGCTCCGACACTTTGCTTGACTCACGATGGGCCGTAGCTTTAGCCCTTTGCTAACTTAGCTGAAACGAAGTACTGTGTAGTGAGTCAAAATAGGCACTGTGTAATTACATATTGGGATTGAATGACTCTTCACTAAAGACTGGTTTGTTGCGGTGCTTCCCCTCCTATCTACGTGAAGTGATGTCATCATTCCCGTTAAACTTTTCTTTTGAAAGAGGCAAGTGACTTGGCATTTGGACTTTCATTATTGATTCCCTCCTTAGGTTCAGTTGTTTGTCTACTTGTTCAGCTCTGTGTATGTGCGTGCAAGTGTGCGTGTGTACTCAGCGGTGTGTACACATCTCCCTGCCGCAGGGGACAGGACCAACTATGTCAATGTGCCGCACATCATCGCCATGGTGGGGCTCCCCGCCAGGGGCAAGACGTACATCGCCAAGAAGCTGACACGCTACCTCAACTGGATCGGCATCCAAACCAGGGGTCAGTGCGAGCATTCGCCCATTCATAAAAAAACGGAAACAATCTTTCAAAGTGGTGTAGGCCGATATTCTGGCATGTTTGGTTGCACTCGTCGAAATATATTCGGAACCTCCAGGGCGGAAAACATGATGAGCTTTCACGTAGCTTTACCTCTTCATGCACCAGAACATGACAGAGTCAAGCTTGATTTGGCCTTTGGCGAGTTGCAACGGCAAAGCTCTTTAAGAATCCAAAATGCTTGTCTCCACTCACAAATCTGTGAAAGCATTTTCTAGATTGGTTTTGAAATTTTCAGTCTGTACTTGCATCTTTGTCATGGTAGCAGCAAGCTTGGTTGAAAGCTATGTTCAGGACAACCTTCTTTCTCTCTTTTTCTAAATCTTTGCATGCTGTTTTCACTTAATTGGTCGCATATTTTTCTATATACACCTTTCCAAGAAATGCTCGACCCCAGAAACAAGGCAACCTTTTTCGAGCCTACTCGCTGGGTTTGAGGCTAGCCTCTTGCCGGCATTCCTGCTAACCCTAACCAAGTGGACTGTGATTCCTATAGGTGCAGCCTGCTTAGACGCAATTTCAGGCACTGCTGGCAGCTAATTTCTCGCCTTTTCCCGCTAGTCCCAAAAATTACCAGTTTTTAATAAATATAGGGGAAAATGTTCTATGTTTATGTTACTTGAGATTCAACTATAAGCAGTAGCTTTATATTTGCCGTAAAAAATAGTGTATATAGGCAATTCTAATAATTGCCATATTTGTATACTGGGGCTGGGCTAACTTCTAAAGCAGACGACGAGTCCACAGCCCAGTGACTCGGCAATTTTCGCCTGGGTGATAAACGCTGGAAATATAGGGTGGCACAAATCATCAAGCTCTTTAAAAATTGTCCAGAAAAGGCAATGCCTACATGTAGATGTCTAAAATTTTCATCAGATATATTTTAGTGGTAGATTCTCCTTTATGAAGTTTCAAGCCATAACTTGAAACTTCATGAAGGAGAATGAGACTAGCAAGCCGGACTTACATTAACGGTGGATGTCAAGACGACCGACTTAATGACGGTCGTGCTTGTGGCGTCTTTTTCAATAGGCACAGTGTTCAAACGGTGCACTCAGTCGAAAGGCAGACGATCTGGTCGTCTGCTTGCCATACTTATTGAGGGATGGCACGCAAGTATAGCCGTCGCTTGGAACCGTCGCTAACTTGGTTGTTTGCGTTACCGCTAAAGTTGGCGGTTTAATGCAAACAAAGTTTAAGTCATTATTGTTTCTTCTCACTCACTGCTCCCACCCTGTTGCAGTGTTCAACGTTGGGGAGTACCGACGCCAGGCGACTGAAGCCTACAGAAGCCACGATTTCTTTCGGGCCGACAACGCAGAAGCCATGGCTATTCGAAGGTACAAGACCTTTGTGTCATTTCCCCATCTGCTTTCATTTCCTGCAGTTGTTACAGAGTTGGCCTGTGTTTGGAACTTGGCTAACTTGACTTTCATTTAGAATGTAGTTACATTTATTATATACATCGGAACAATGATGCACGCTCTGGTAACACCTTTGCAAGCTTGCTTGATAGTAGAGGAACACAATAGTTACCTGGAGGATGCAAATATAACGAATTTGACATCTTGATGTTTTTAAGCTTTTTGATGGGCTAGTTTTTTTATCCCAGAAGATGTTTCCATGTGGTCGGGCTCTGTTTCCAAAAGAGTAGCATAAAAATAGGGTCAATGCGCAGTTTTATTTTTAAATATTTAGCTTGAGCGCATACAGTGCTCTCAAGCTGTTCACGTTTAGAAGCATCAAAAAGAAATATTGAATGTGAAAAGTTGTCACCTTCCTTCCAGTTTCATTTTGGCCCGCGGCTCCTGTGACATTCTGGCGGTTTCAGATTTTTAAGCGGAGGAACTTCACCGAGCTTCTTCATCAAATAGTAAACTCTCATCTTCTGAATTAAATTCTGAGAAGCGTTAAAAGTCTGAATTGGAAGAATTGGCACTCCAAATGCCACCACTGCCAGACCAGCCGACCAAATTGCCACGCCACATCATCTCGCATGTGTGCGCGAGGTGTCTCGTTTCAAAATTATAAATAGCCCCAGCGAAGCGTAACACCGTGGGAATATAACATTTATAGTTTACCCAAGACATAACAAGTAGCAACAGCTCCCACAGTATGGCAAATTAGGGCCAAGACACCCAGACCAAAGAAGTCTGGCTCTACCTTGGCTTCTTGGGGCTTTTTAAGGCCCTAAATTATCGCATACAGACCAAATTTTGGGCCAAAGAAGTGTGCTACCTGGGATGGTGCATTGTGGATAAGCAGTTTCTTTTCCCTTTCAGCAAGTGTGCCCTGGACGCCCTGGAGGACATGTGCAAGTGGCTGGAGACGGAAGGGGAGGTGGCGGTGTACGACGCCACCAACACCACCTTCGAGCGCCGGAAGCTCATCTACGACGTGGTCTGCGAGCGCTTCGGCTTCAAGCTCTTCTTCGTCGAGTCCTACTGCGACGACCCCAAGATCATCGAGGCCAACATACGGGTATGGGACACGTCGACACATCCTCATATTTCCTTTGCTCGGAACCTAATGCGGCCTTTTCGTGGACGAAGCCCGCACACCTGCCGTCAACTGCTATGATTGGTACATCACAATTTAAGAGGGCAGTGTTTGTGAGAAGACCCCAGGGTTGCTAGGATGACTCCTGCATTAGTTACTCCTGTGTTAGGATGACTCCTTTGTTAGGATGACTCCTGTGTTGCTAAGATGACTCCTGTGCACGATGCAAAAAGAACACATTACGGTGATGCCACTCGAGTGGCTGAGCACCCAAACCAGGGGGCCCATCTATCCGCTTCTTCCCCATTATATCAGCATGAAGAGTTTCTCCCCCAGGGGCCTGGTCATCTTCGCAGCACCGCCGCACCGTTTCCGAACGTGGGCCTCTTCTGCCTCTTTTATTTCATAGAGGGCCTCTTGGTCAGAGCGCCCACTATGTCGGCGTGAAATAAACCAGTCCCAGTTTGAGGCTAGTTTCGAGTACAATCTCTCCGCGCCTCCTTCCCAGTGAGAGTGGCAAGTGGCATCGCATAAATGTTTCTTGCAACATACTCCCGTGTTAGAACGACCCCTGTGTTGCTAGGATGACTCCTGTGTTGCTACCTCATGTCACTAGGATGACTCCTGTGTTGCCATCTCATGTTGCTAGAATGACTCTTGCGTTGCTAGGAGCCATGCTGGAAAAACCGTGTGCCAGAGAAGTGACTGTGCAGGAGGTGAAGATCAACAGCCCGGACTACCGGGACATGAACAAGGACGACGCCCTGCTGGACTTTGTGCACCGCATCGAGCACTACAAGGCCTGCTACCAGACCCTGGATGAGGTCCAGGAGAAGCAGTACTCCTTCATGAAGATCTTCAACACGGGCCAGAAGGTGGTCGTGCATCGCCACGAAGGTGGGTGCATTGCCACCCTCCCCCTCGCAACTATACATAGTACAGTTTGCCTGCTTATCAATGACCATTACCATCTTTCAATGTTTGCCCCCGTGAAATCTCAGTGGTGTTTCAAGCATTATTTTTACTGATGGCAGTTTTGTTGAGAGTGAGCAAAAAAATATCTAAACTGGAGAACATTAGAGGTTGCCAGAAAACGCGCTAACTTGACTCAAAAATCGCTAAAACTCCCGCTAGAATCGCGTAAATATTGTATGTCTTCCACTGGAGGCCAGCTTATACATCTGTGTCGGTGCTCGGCTGGCACTTCTGTCTTTGCTGATTAGTCTCCGCTAATTCAGCACCACTGCCTTGTTATCTATAAATGCTGACAGGCAGAAGCAACCAGTGTTTGCTCTGACCAAGTGTTGTTCTCTCTCATCTGCAGGGCACATCCAGAGCAGGGTGGTCTACTACCTGATGAACATTCACATCATGCCACGATCCATTTACCTCACGAGGGTGGGTAGTTCACGACCCTGCACCTGGTCGCTAACCTTGTGTTTTTCTCGAGCATTAGGGCCATGCCTTTCTCGCTCATATTTTAGTGTGAAGTTGTTTCCAGAGTCCTTTGTTTTAACGTGATAGCATTATTAAGCTACTACTCAAGATTTTTGTATATTCTGGTTTTCTAATGCGCAGTAGGTAAGCGCAGTAGACCATTTCAGCTCACCGTGCTTGCACCTCGTTGTGCTGTGGGCATATGTTGAGCGGCAGTGCACACTCCTTCCCATTTGCACGCTCTTCAAAGGACCTGACGACCTTGACGTCGTCCTAGAGGTAGTCTTCGACGTCATTCCCTAGGACGTCATCCTTGAGGTCGTTCTGGATGTCGTCTTTGACGACGTCCTAGAGGACGACGTCTAGGGCGACCTCTAGGGTGATTTCAAGGACAAGGATTTAGCGTTGTCCTACAGGACTGCACTATTTTTAGCAGGGAGTTTCGTTACTAAATTTAGTGGATAAATTGACGTCGCGACCTATGCTCCAATTCAGTTTCCCCGCTAAATTTGCCGGTGTGCAACAGTAAATGCTATCACATTCATAGATAATCACCCCTGTGGTTTCTATGAATTTGCCTCAACCATCAATTTGCTGCCCTGTAATTTTTTTTATTGAGGTCATTGAGGCACAGACTTTTACTTGGCCGGCAACCTGTCGAAAGCATCGCTACGTACCTCCCACATGGCTCCAGCCTAGAGTCTCAACCCTGTAGCCCGCTGGGTCGGGTGTTAGGTGATGCTGGCAAGATTCAAACAGAGGAAAATTGGTGACTTTCTTGCCAGTTTTTGACTGGCATGGTAAATGTTTCTTCAACCCCTCATTTTTGTTTGTTTCTCGCACTTAATGCAATATCAGGTCCGATAATATTGTCTCGAAGCGGAACTTTTTTGTTTTACTAACGTCTCTTTCCCGTTTTTCTGCAGCACGGAGAGAGCACCCTCAACCTTCAGGGAAGGATCGGGGGCGACGCTGATCTCTCGGAAAGGGGCAGCGAGGTGGGTCACAGTTTGCAGTCTTTTTTTGTGCTTCATTAAAGGAAAGTGGCTTTTTCGGTGACGTAGCATGTGGGCAGGAAACTAAGGCTACCTAGCAATGCGGACAAATGACCGCCCTAATTCCGCCCTCTCTTCGCCTATTAAAGCCCGATTCCGCGCACAGAAAAAGGGTGAAGGTGCTCGAAATGTAAGTGAAATGATTCGCATTCCTGTACTCGAGGAGTGGCATGTAAAGTTATTTCCAAAAAAGGTTGTGTTAAGCGTCAATTTAAAAAAATGGTAATTGAGCCTTATGGTGAATTCGGGTGGTCGCCTCTCTCCTCTGACCTCGATTCAGCAGAGCGCCCCCTCCTCGCCGCCAGAGCTACTCGGGATCCCTTTCAGCCGATTACAACTGCTGGCTTCAGAGCGCTCCGAGATTCTCAGACCAGTCACGGAAGTAAAACTTCTTGACATTGGTAATGCATTAAAAACAACACGATCTTACAGCGTACGGTGGACGATTGAGCAAAATTTACGCTCGCAACGTGATGAAATAACTGTTGTGACGTAAATTTTTTTACGCATCAGCATGTAAAAAAAAAAAGAAGAAAACAGCAGTATGTGAATTGATTTTCGCAAAACGGAACGAAAGCCAACGCTTCGAAAGAATTGTCAACTCATCGCGTTTTCGTCAGTGAACGCGCTGCGATAGCAGTCATGCGTACGACAGAACAGGCAAACATAAAATGGTTAATAAACCGCATTTTTCTCACGGCGAAATATCGTGCAAGCGTCGCCATGTGACACAAATCACAGTGCATTATATTCGGCTCTCCCTTTATTTTATAACACAAACCTTTGAACGCACTTTTACCAAACCTGAAAATTTCTTGAAGCGGCCACAAAACCCGGTAAAACAGCGGCGAGCTCTGCGAGCTGTCTCTCCGTCGGTTAGGCTTAGCGAATTTACCGCCGTGAGATGAACGATCTCGTGAAAGCACTGGGAATACTTCCCACGTCGACTTTTCCTGTTACGGTCGCAAAGGAATGTCGTCCCTTCCGTCGTAATCCTCGCACCGTCGAATTCACAAGTACTTTGTAGAACCACACATCAATCGCCGTCATGCCGTACCCCGCACACCACCACAGACCACTGCCGGCCATCGTCAACAAAACCACGTGATCACCGTCCAGCTATCACGTGACGCCTGCGCCGCTCCGCACTCCGGCGGCTACAGACGGAGTGCCAGAGAGCGCTCTGAGAGGGAGAGGCGCCCTCGGAATGAACCACCCGATCAGGCCACAGCACTCTCTTTCAACCACCCGATCTCGCGCGCTCTGGAAAGAGCGCTCGAGAGCGCGCGGAAAGAACCACGCGAATTCGCCATTACTGTCTGCTGAGTGGAATTGGGTGGAATGCTAGGTACTTCCTCCCCACGGAGCCGGTCATGTCAGCTAAAAATCCGTCTTATGGATCTTTTACCTCCCGGAAGAGATACCTGCGTTGGTCAGCAAGCTGGCCCTGATGTGGGGAATGCACTGAGTTTCTGTCCAGAGCTTTCTCTGGTGAAAGCTCAGTCAACTTTGGTGCAGTTTACCGAAAGTGACCTTTTGCCCTACCCTGCAATATAGGGTGACTCTGGCCTCCGCATATTAGGCTCGCAATACTTCAAACCCGAATATTTCATACTTCTGGTTAATTCAAACAAATTTCAAAATTTTGGTTCTCCTGCCAACATATTTATAAGCCCCGTAATTAGAACGGCATTTTCGTGTAATTCAGACTTCTGCTCTCGTGGCCCCGTTAAGTGCACCTCTTAGCGAGCACCGGCGTACTGCGGAGAAGCAACAGGTGCGGAGATCGCCTTTTATTTATTTATTGTACATGCCCTGGAGTGCCGAGGTAGAGGGGCAGGGCGGTAGAGGGAGGTGTAAAGCAAACAAAAATATAAACAACAAAATAAAAAGATGCAGCAAGAAATACAAACATCAGAAATGCACTTTGATTGGCAAAAGCTGAAAGCAACAACTGCTATGAACGAAAGAAACAAAAGCGAGTGATTCATTTTGGTTCATCGTGCAGAAATGTATACAAAAATTGTCAAAAAAGAAAATCACGCGTGTTGTTTCTCTGCGGTGCACTGGTGCTTGGTAAGAAGCATGCTCAATGACGATAGGAGTCCACAGTAGACAACTTTTTCGCTGGGTGAACAAACTTAATTTTATTTTGAGGTGTTAGGTGCTGTCTAAACAGTTTACGAGAGACAACATTTTTAAGGGACGATTAAACTTATCTCGTACATTTCGCAGATGTTTCACACGGGGCATACCTGCTTGTGATAAGTAGACCCACGTAGAAGAAACAAATATCCGCTTTGTAAGTGTAGCCATTCATATAACAAATCATACTGTATCTCGCATCATATTTTGACGAATTTCCGATAACGCAAACAATTTCTCGGTGGCTTCCCGAAATTTGAATGGCTGAGAGTCTACCGCACTTTATCCACCAAAGGGATACCCGCATTGATCGTGAAACAAGCCCCAGTATGAGGAACGAAGTGTGTCTCGCCCTACTGTGCAGTATGCGGTGGCCCTGGCCAAGTTCATCAAACGCCAGGCCATCCCCCGCCTGCGCGTCTGGACGAGCCAGCTGAAGCGCACGATCCAGACGGCCGCGGGCATCGACGCCCCCCAGGAGCGCTGGAAGGCACTCAACGAAATCGATGCGGTGAGGCATTGGCGCTCATTGAAAAAATGCACGTGACGCGTAGTGCCATCCCGCTAAATTTAGCGGGAAATCGTTTTTAAAGAGAATAGAGAATCATCGGTGTAGAAACAATGTCCCGTGTTTCGGGAATGTATGGCACTTCTAGTTCTTTGCTGAACGTTGGGACCAGCCACATTTTAGACGCATATTTAGCGCGGTCAAATGGCGTACGTTGTCGCATGGTTGCGGTTTTCGAGTCTCATGGTTGTGGTTTTCGAGTCTCATCTTGGCATTTGGTCTGCAGGGCATTTGTGAGGAGATGACCTACGAAGAGATCCAGGAGAAGTTTCCGGAAGAGTTTGCGGCGAGAGATCAAGACAAGTTCCACTACCGCTATCCGCGCGGGGAGGTGAGGCAAAACTCTGGCGTATCCTCGCATGTACATTTTTTCGTACCGCTACCTGGCTATGCTTTACCCCGTTTCGGCTTGTTAATGGGCGAGCTTTACGGCCCCCGTGAGTGAGCCGATCGAAGCGACGTAGCGAAGCACGTAACTTATCAATAGGGGAGTGCACTTCCATGATACAATCGTCTCGTGCCTCCCTCCGACGCTACGATTGACTCGCTAGCCCAGCGGCTTTCTCCGTTGGCCAGGTTATACTGAAACGGAGCGTAGCCAAGTCACAATTTATGCGTTCCATTTTCTTTCGTACATGATCTAACCTTGCGCATCATATTCTGCAGCTTGCCCTAACATCGCCGTTTTTCCACTGACGTTTTTGCCCGCATTTCAGTCGTACGAAGACCTCGTTGCCAGATTGGAGCCTGTCATCATGGTACGTTTGTGCGAGTTTCTGTTTCATAGCCGATTGTTAGTTCTTGGGACTCCATTAAATTGCGTCGCCCGATGCAGGAGCTGGAACGGCAGGAGAACGTGCTCGTTGTTGCGCACCAGGCGGTCCTCCGCTGTCTGCTTGCTTACTTCCTCGACAAAAACTCCGGTAAGTCGATTCGTTCGCATTCTTTTTTTTTCGTAAAATCCCGTGAGAATGTTTACCCAAAATGGAGATACATGGTGAAAAATATGGGGTGGCCTACCTTCCCAGATCTGACAGCTAAAGTTTATCCAAAAAGAAGTCATAAATGCGGTAGCCCTTCCTACGGGGCACATGAAAAGGAACCGATACTGTGAATTGGGGACGCAGCAATATCGCGTGTCACGGTGCAATAAACACGTGCAAACCCGGTACGAACTTGCTTGTAACACTTATCGGCGCCGCAGATCGCGCATTTGATATAATTCCTTCTGGACATCGCGCTACGTCCGACGAGAATTGGGGGTGGAGCAATGTTTTGGAATTGACATACGGGATGGGTTATCTCGAGGAAGGGCATTGTACGGGATTTTAATTGAGTCTTCTTCCGTCTCGTCGACCGAGATGTCGTCTGGGCACTTGTTTGGAACGAAACTTGCGAGGCTGTTTTGCGCATTTCGTTCCACTCGATGTCATTTGAGGGCTGTTGCATTCCTCTCTTTGTTCTGTGCCCAACCTGCGAACAAAATGTACTCGCCACGAGGATCTGAGAAACATCCATTGTGTAGAGTCGGTGTTAGCATGGGAGTGGCACTGTTGCATCTTGTCTTTTTTGGGTTCTCTTCGATGCGGACTGAGGTCACTGACAAGGTGAGAACTTGGGGGTGCCTTTTTAGAACGCCTGGCCCTCGGCACATGCTCTTTGTGTCCCGTCGTGCTTTTACCGCACGAGGTTCATGGCACTCTGAAGGTCTGGAGGCATTCTCACTCTGTCGGTGACTGCGGCTCGAGCAGTTCTACATTGGTGTGTGGTCGGCTTCCGCAGCAACTCTCGTGCGGTGCAACTCGAGTTGTGTGGCGGTCCCAGTCTGTTGTTGGTGCTGCTGTGACCCGGGTGGCGCTTTATTGGCACAGCCGACATTCGCGACAGACATCCAATAATAGTGTCCTTTGGGTGATGCAATGTTGGTCTAGGGTGCAGCTGGTGCAGGGTCGGCTTGAGGGGTATGTTTTTGTTGGCCCGGGGGGATTCCCAAAGTTTTCCGTGGTGTCGTACATTGTTTTAGAGCGCAGTTCTTAGGCTCCCGTTTCTGGCTTGAGCGGCATCGCCGTCGGCGTCGGTGTAACAGCGCGCATTGCATTATGGGAATAGTGCAACCGGGCGTAACCACACGTTGCATTATGGGAAAAAATTCCCTGCTACATTTAGCAGAAAAATTTCCCCGCTACATTTAGCAAAAAAATTTCCCCGCTAGGTTTCGTGGAAAAAATTCTCCACTAAATTGAGTGGAAAAATTCCCCGCTAAATTTCGCGGGAAAATTGCCTCGCTAAATTGGACAGAAAAATTTCCCCGCTAAATACGGCAAGAAATTTAGCAGACATTTTCCGCTAAATGGAGGGGAGCAGGAGAGGAGGAGGGGAAAGGGAGGAGGGGCATACCCTCACCTTCTCCCCCTCGAGAGCTGCGCTCTAATTTGGCATTGCAGAGAATTGTGAACGTCTTTCATTTTTATGTCCGTTATGTATTGGGTGTGCAGTGCGACGGGCAAAAAGTAGCCATTTGTCTGTGTGCTTTCGGGAAATATTTAATGTGTCATTGTGAGATGCGAAACAGATGGGTGGGAAGGGAGATTTGTTACACCCTACCTGCATTCTTTGTTCACTGTATATTTGAGCATGTTTGTATTGTTTTTTTTGCAAGCTGAAGACTTCATGATCAATGGTATAGTGAAAATCAACTCTGTGTGTGCCAGGGTGCCATTGAAACGTGACCCCACGTGTCACAAATGATACAATTTTGAATAAATCTTTTAGAGCAGAGCTCTTAGGCCCCCGTTTCCGGCTTGAGCAGCGTCGCCGTCAGCGTAACTATGCGTTGCATTATGGGACGTCTCCCATAATGACTTCATATGTGACATCACGCATGACATGACTAGGGTCACGAGTGAGATCACTCATAACCGCGCGTTGCGCTCTGAGATGTTTCCCATCATGATGTCATGTGTGACGTCACGAAGGTCACTCGTGAAGTTCACAACGAAGGTCACTACCTTCACCTGACCTTCATTTGTGAAGGCCACAACCTTCACGAGTGACATTACGAGGATGGAGGGAGGGGGAGAGAATGAGAGGAGGAAGGAGAGGGGGCATACCCTCCTTTCTATACCCTCCCCGCCTCCTCAAGAGCTGTGCTCTAGTTCGGCATTACATGCACGTCTTTCATTTTTTATCACGGAACTGGGTTCCTAGGAATTGTTAACCGGCGATGCATCTGGGGGTACCATCATTGGAACATGGCGGAGCCATGATCTATGCAACTATTTCACAGCCCTTGCACTGGGTAGTTTTCTTCGAAGGGACATTCTGGGACAGTGAAACTTAATGTGTTAGTGTGTGTATCTGTGTGCTTTGCATTGAAAGACTATGGAAATTTTTTCATGACCTCAAGCTTTTTCCAGTTGGGCGACTACCTGTCGTTCACTTGGGTGTCGCCAATTGCAATCGGTCCTTTTTGCGAACCAAATTGCAGCCGAGGTGCCTGCAATCTGACCGTGGATGATGGCACGGACTGAGATTTCGGTTGCACATCAAAAGATCCCCGGGTGGTTAAAATGAATCTCAGTTTTCCGCCCGGCGTGCCAGATGCCCTTCGTTGGTCTGGCATGAAAACCCCCAAATTTGACTCTGACTTCGCGAACACCATGGCACGTTTGACGCTCCTTGTGTGCCGAGAGACTCATGCCGTAAATGCGGCGCGTGTCTGATTCAGAAGATTGAGTTAGTGTTGTTGGTGCAAAGGGGTCAGGAGCGTGACACCCTTCTTCCTTCTCTCTCCTCTCTCTCCTCTTTCCCCTTTTTTTTTTTTCGCTGGCCTCGGGGCTTCACGGACGTGCAGAAGAGGTGCCTCATATTCACGTGCCGCTGCACATGATGCTGGTGCTGGTGCTGACCGCGCACAGCAGCAAGATGTATGAGTACAAGGTCAATGTGGAGGCCGTCGACGACCACAACCTCCTCTGACCGCCCGAAGCAATCGACGCCGGCGGCGGCACCACTCCAAGCGGGTCTTCCAGTTGCGCCCTTGTTGCCAGCAACACGTGACTCTTGTCCGACAGTGTTTTGGTTTCTTTTCTTTTTTCTAGCATTTTTGTTTGTTTGAGGGAGAGGGGAGAAGGGGGGTCACCGGCTCGGCCGTCTCGTTTAGTCTCTGCCGCGACTAGGTTTGTGTGAATAGTGGATTGCGAGTTCAGAGCGAATGGCGTTTTTGGTCGAATACTTTTTTATTCGAAAATCGAATAGTTTCATTGAGCCTTTTGCTACTGTGCACCATGCTTAAACGAAAACTCAGCTAAACTCGCGAAGCTTCTTCCCAACCTTCCCATCGTCCACTTTAAACTCTGATCATTTTAATATAACTATATGAACTGTGGCATGTAAACAACAAATTTGTCGCAGCTATCCTAATCAAGGGGATTTGTAGATCTGCTTGCTATATGCAAGTATCCTTTCTTCAATTTCAAATTTGACAAAAAAATAAAGGAGCACTAACGATGAATGTAGGTTGTCAAGACATTGCTGCCTAAAAACACGTTCGCGTAAGCAAGGCAGGTTAAGCCCGTTGAGTGCGCTTCTCCTCAAGCAGATGTGCACCGCGGAGAAGTCATGCCCGCAGAGCTCACGGGCTCTGCGAGTTTTGCTTCCCCGCAATGCTCAGGTGCTTGGTGAGAAGTGCACTCAACGGGGCTACTCTGTGGCGATTGACACTTTGAAAGGTATGAATGTCGCAGTTCACCTCAAAGCGAATATTGAATAGCAAAGTATTTGAAGCTACTATTAGAACATTTGCACAACCCTAGTCGCGACCGGTCCAATTACTCGCGGTTCTAACTCGGATGCTGTTGTTGTCGTGGGTTACAGCAGTTGCCAGACTAGAGCGGCCCATGCATCTCGTCTACGTTGTGCGCTGCGGTGGAAATTTTTCAGGTTGCCGCTTTGCAATGTTCACACAAAGTTAATGCAATTGTTTTTTTTCTTTTTTGTGAACAAAGCACGTTTTTATTTTTCGGCACGGCCAGTAGAGAGTTAGTCATCGTGACTCGTAAAAGTCCAGCGAGGGACGAGGTACAGTTCACGTCGCAAACTCGGGAATGCAATCTGCGCCCGAGTTCTTTGCCCGACATCTTCAGAATTTGTGCTCGGCAACCCCGTGCAGCTCCCATACATTACGTGCGCGTCGTCGTTTTTTGGTGTTCCTTAAATTCCAACGATTGGCTCTCCGCGTGCTCTCTGGATAAGTAAACAACTCTGCGTATATTCGGGTAAATATGTTACGTTGCGCGTCAGATGTTACCAAAGGACCGAGAGTGACCTACAGCAACACCTCCTATAAAACGAAGCCGCCGTGCTCAGGTTTGTGCGTCGACTAGAGTAGGTCGACGATTCTATTGGACGCAACTGCTGAAGGCAGACTGGGCCTCCTGCCGCCTGTAGAGCACTCGGAGTGTGTTCACCTTACATTGGGTGAGGGCTACACTTTGCGAAAGAAAGAAGCTGCAACGTCTTCATCTTAAATCAAATTTGTCTTAATCTGTGGGGCAGGTGGTGAGGGAAGGAACCGATTTCTTGGCGTGGTAGTGGTACAGTGGCTGATTGGTTTGAAATTATAAGCAGCATTGCTCGACCTTGCTGAAGTCTTTATAGGTGATGGGAGTTGCGCTAGCTCATACAGTAGACTCTCATTATTTCAAACTCCAGGCAGTCGCAAATTTTGTTTCAATTATTTGAAGTTTGAATTGTTGGAAATTCATCTAAATATGATATGAGATGAAATTATGATTTTCCTTATGAATAGCTACATACAATGCAGATATATGATGATTTCCTCTACATAGTCCTACTAATCATAAGCAGGTATGCCACGCGAGAAACATTTGCCTAATGTATGACGTAAGTTTATTTATTCCTCAAAAATGTTGTTTATTGTGGACTGTTTAGACAGCATGTGACAACTTAAAACAAAATTAAGTTTGTTCATGGGGCCAAAAAGTTGTGGGGGACACATGAGCAATGAAAACAGGCACCGCGTGGCAGTTTTCTTAGCAATTTGTGCGGACGCTATGACGTGGACCTATGCCATGCTGCCATGTCAAAGCATCCGCGCAAGCTGCTATGGAGATTTCTGCGTGGTGCCCGTTTTCATAGCTCATGGTGGTCTGCTTGAGCCCCGTTGAGCACCGGTGCGCTGCGGAGATGCAAGCTCTGCGGGTGTTGCCTCTCTGCAGTGTGCCGGCGCTCGGAAAGAAGCGCACTCAGAGGCCACAAGAACAAAAAGTATGGGTTGCACGAAAATGTTTGAATTAAGCAGCTTATAAATATATTAAAAAACATAGTGGGACAATCAAAATTTTGAAATTTGTTTGAATTAACCGGAAGTGTGAAATATCCTAGTTTGAATTATCGCGAGCCTACTGTATTTTGAAAGCACGGTTTCTGCATCGTTGAAGACTACAAATTCGCTTTGGGCATGGGGCAACCGATGGAAACAGCCTTTGCCTTGCCCGTGACTCCTAGGTAAATTCTTTCACAGGAAAAATCAATTTCTAGCTGCTAACACTTTAGTCAAGTAACCAGAAGTTCCAGAAGTTTACAGTCTACTACACTACTAGTGTTACATTTAGGCGGGATCGTTGCGGCAATGGGTTTTTCATTTGTTCAGTTAAGACACCCCGGCATGCTAATCTTAATTAGTACTCTGCATTTTATTGCTTGCTGCTCACAGAAGGCAAAAACTGTTGGGCCAGTTATGTATGTAAAGCTGAGGTACTAAAAAAAAAAAAGCCAGTGGATCTAGGTATTACTGTGAACCTAAACTTCAGTGACCTCTAGACGCCATACTCCTTTACCAATGATTCTAAGGAATCACCATTGTGGGAACACTAACAGTTGGGGTGCAATATGATTACCTAGTCTTCATAATTTGCATTGTCTCTGGTGACTTCCTTTGCTATATACAATTGGTATGCATCATAGAGCTGAGCTTACTCACTCCCATGAGACAGTGGTGGAGGGACAGGCAATAAACGGGCTATAAATTTTTACTGCCATTCGGATTGTTTGGTTACCTCACAGTGTCAGACTTGAGTTTCTATACAGTTACTGGTCAAAGGGCAAGGTGACTTATTAACGAGGAACGTGAAATTGCGTTGATTTGCAAGTTTGCTCTCTGTTATACTTCAGGATGGCTATAATAGTCCCCCCCCTTTACTCCTTCACAAGGTTTCGTTCAGTTTTTTCGACTGGTAACAATGCTTTTGAAAGGCCTCATGAATTGTGGAATTGTCGTAACTCGTAAGGATGGTTTGGAGATGATCTTTCGATGCAGACGACGTATGTATATTTTTTCAGTTGGGAGCAATAAAATGTGTTTGGTGCGAGTTTTAGTGAAGAGGTGAGGCCTCGGTGTGGTGGGAGTAGGTAAGGTGATGGTTGTCGGACCAGCTTCTTGTGGGGGAGTGTGCAGTGATTGGGCAATGCACCAGAACAGAAGAAAGCAGTAGGAGTTGGATCAGGGGATGAACAGGCATCATTTGTCCACAGTTTTCGTAGCGGCCATACCAAAGATGTAGACAAGTTTAGAGTAGAGACAATCTTTGTTGTGTTACCTGTTTTGAGTAGTACTCTATCACGAGCTTCCTCGGTCCCATTTGTAGACCCAGTGGCGGATTCATAGAGGGGCTCTTACGCATATGACACGTTGTATTTCCCCCCCCCCCCCCCCCCCCCCCCCTTCGAAAATACCCGTGTCCGCCCCTGTGTAGACCATTTGGTGCAGTAACGCGAACAAAATTGAGATGTAAGAGGTTGTTATTTTGGGACTTGTGTCAACTTGTTTAGTCGGGCAGACATGTGTTGAGATGTCCTCGACTGCTGTTGACGACATGTGTTACTCTTTCAAACTTTCTTCAGCGCAGAGTGTGCTACATGTACATTGTAATAGAACAGCCCCATGTATTGTTATTGCTGGTGAAGACTTATATCATTAATTGTTTATGGCTAACTGCATTACTAGACTGCGAGTTAAAAATTTGCAGCAAAAATAGTGTGAAAAGGTTTTTAGGGGACAGATTAAAAGTTGTTGATTTAAAGATGCCAGAAAGTATTCTGTTTTACAATCAAACATACATGTAAGCTGAAGTTCCTGGTGGAAAAACAAGTGGAAAATAACGGGAAAACTTGCACAGCAACCAATGGTTGCAATACATCTGTATACTTCATGTGCAATATGTATTTGTGTACAGTTCATTACTACACCTTACCATTTAACACCTTGGTGTGGCAATTAAGGTATGAGCCTATCAGTGGTGTAGCCAGGGAAGGGGCTTATGGGGGCTTCAAACCACCCCCCCCCCCCCCTAAAAAAAAAAATACCGGCTACGCCACTGGAGCTTATCCCTTTATGTCTGTTGTTTGTGAGCTCCTCTTTTTCTTTTCGAGCGAGATAAGGCACTAGTCATTTTAGTAGTGTCTAAAACGGTCAGGGAGCATCTGTTTATTTCTCAATAGTTTTGTACAACTATGTCACGTAGGAGCCAAAGACTCTAATAAATCGTTTACATTTCCTTGTTTTTCACGAGCGTGCTTTCTCTTTTGTTCTCGTCACATTTTGCTCCACTTCATGTAGTGTCGAGATTCAAGCAGTTCCTGATTTGTCTCGATGCTATATAAGGTTCCACCTTTGGCCTAGCATTCGTATCATTCGAGCTATCCTCGTAGCTGCTCCCTCGCATAGGCCACTGCTCCTGGCATGCCGGTGTAAGGTGGAGAAGCTTGACGGAAGTATCGTGGCGGGCGGGAGGGGAGGGGGGGCTAATGTTTTTGTCAAATTACTTACGTGACCTTGTCACAAGTACCATAATATCCCGAGAGATAGCCCACCTAAAATCGATAGCAAATTGGATGAAAATAAGGAGTGGGCTAACTAAAATGATCTGATGGGCTAGTTGGTTATAATACACACTGCAGCACAAAAAGCCAACTTTCGGGGGGGCCATAAAAAAAGTTTAAAACTTTCAACCTTTCCACTCTGGTGAAGGAAGACCAGCGAAGCTGTACTATGGTGGGAACGAAGTAATGGTTGGCCGCAAGTCGGCAAGCCAGAGTGGAAAGGCTCGAAAGGCTGCCGCCATCTATGAGCGACGGCGGCAACCAGCGGCAACAAACGACGTTGGAGGAGCTGGCGTGTCGTGCTGTCGGATGTCGCAATCCTGGTGGTTGGTGCTTTGAGTCCTGGGGAAAAGCTTCGGGAAATGCGAGTAACGCACGAGCCGGTTCGAGACATGTTGCAGGCAGCCTAGTTTAGCCTATAGACACGTGCCTAGGCTGGTGCTAGTGTGCTGGGAAGTCTATAGAGCAAGGGACAAGGTTGTTCTCCAAGCCCTCCATGCGCCGCCCCTGGGCCTTTTGCAGAGGAACTGCCATACCTGCGCGTCCCGCTGCACGGCATCATCAAGCTGACGCCCATGGCCTACGGCTGCGAGGTGAAGAAGTTCAGCGTCCCCATCGCGGCCGTGGACACGCACCGGGAGAAGCCCAGCGTAAGTAGCTCTGCCAACGGCGCGGACTGCGAGCCGGACATCTTCGGCTTGCAGGAGATTGACCTTGATGCGGATTTGTTGCTCTGTTCCGACGAGTCGGCTCGGGGCTGAACCCAAACATTGCAGATAAAGTGACGAAACCATTTTTAGGTGTTGCCAGTTTTATTTGTCTACAGGGTGCTTCCAAGCGCTATTCGGGCACGAAATAAAAAATTTTGTACTATAAACAATTTAATTTTTGCGAATTTAAAAATGTAGTGAAATATAGATCACGCAAAATACGTTGCCCAGCGGTACTAACACAGTCTGTACCACTCCGCAAAATATTCCTGAAATGCACGCTGCGGCAAATTCAGAAAATATGGAGCTCACAAAAATGAAGTCATTTACAGTAAATGAACCAATAAACCAAGTGCAAACTAAAACCCACACTGAAGAAATTGGATTATGAAAAATGCACCGCCTAAAAATGTCTTTGTAAAAAGTCCCAATGCTCTCTGCTAATTATAGTTTATAAAACCCGAACAGCGCTTGGTAGCACCTTGTATACAAATATGGTTTGTCACAGTCCAGCTATTTTAAACTGGATTAGATTACAAAGTTGCAACACGGGACCGCAATAGGGCGCGACTGTGATGAACTCCACAGTTGGTTCAACTATGCCGTACAGCTAGTTTTGTGCCACGAAATGTGAAGGCTGAATAAAAACGGCACCGACGAATTTCTCGTTACTCATCCGCTAAATAAAATGCGGTGTCATTTGTTCATAATTTTTTGTTTCACACTGGCTGCTCTAGAGAAGCTATTGAGGCTAAACCTGTCTCAAAGCGTAACCCGCAAGCTCTGTGAACCGAGATTTTTATCTTTATAAGCCGTACCACAATTTGCAAACATCTTTTGGTCTGCATCCTGTGCAGAGGTTCGACTGGTTTGGACAGTTGTTGATTGACAAAACATAGCATTAAGTACTTTCTTTTTTACCTATAACGAACTCTTGCAATCATTCTATCTTTTCTGGTGGTTTGGGTAGCTTAGCTACTCGCTGGTAGGGATGTAGCTTCCTCTCTTTTTGTTTCTTTCAATAGTATTAAGTATCCATCGTCTACCGAAAATGAAGCCTCAATATTTGTGTCCTCTGGGTGTGGCAGCCTGGCATTGTTTTAAAACCAGCAGCAAGCAGTCGGAACTAATCATATTTTTTCATGATTCATACGTTACAATTAAGTTTTCTCAGGATGCTACCGGATATGTCTTACACTCCCTTTTTGTCATCAGAGGAACACTTGCACCAAATTCTATACTTTTTCCAAATCGTTTTTTTTTTTTAGGTAATCGTGTTAGGTGTCTTCTGCATTACTGTTTCAAGCTGCGGCAGACTTATACAACTGCCGATGCCATTACCCCCTTGCTTTAATTCATTCAATGCAGTTGCAGACGAGTGTCATGTCTGGGCTTGAAGCATAGTGCTGCAGTAGCCGGGCGTTTCATTGTGCGTGATGTCTCGTAGTTAAGGTTATTGCAACGTCTTGAATAGGGTAATTCGTCGTTGTAAGTTATGCGCCGCCGCGTTCATCCCAACGATCGCCATTAATGGAGATTGCTCAAAGTCTGTGGAAATGTCTGAAACGAATTGTGCCAAGTGACCCAGTCGTAGGCTTCGCTTGTGTTGAAGAGTTGCGCTCCGGTTGTACGACAGGGCTGTTCTTTCGACACATTTGCGCGTGTGCACAAATGAAAGTGAGGAAACCATTCTTGTTCTCTGTAGAGGTGTGTAATGTGTGGCAGCAGTATAGTTCTCCTGCGTACTGCGTACGCTCCGTGTACTGTCGTGCGTGCGGTTCTTGTCGAGATTTTGGATGCTGTACTTAACTTCAGCAAACTGGGTGGTGAGCAGCATATGCAACACTGCATACGTTTGATAGCAGGCTACAAATCTACACACAGAGTTGCTCTTTGTCGGATTAACAGACATCGGCATTCCTATGAAGTGTAGTTTGGTGGCAGCTGGTGTAGATAGAGCTGCTTATGTTCACTCTTGCCCTGCTTGTTGTATTTTTTTTTTCTGCCTGTGACTGTTCTTTTATTCATGCTTTGGATGTACATCCCATGTGCAAGCTGCACGCAGCACGCTACGCTGAATTTGCACGAACATGACTGTTTAGCTAGTCTGCTTAGTAGCTTGTTAACACAGAGGTTCGGACGAGTTGGTTGCTTGTGATGTACAGGGGGAACATTTCATTTCTAGTACAGCGGGCCCTTTTAAGCATCACCCCTTGAGCCCCGACTTTCTGGTCATCTTAATAGCCATCTGCATATGTCAAGCAAGGAGTGTATGTTGACTCGAGTGACTGTTTCCCGGGTGCGCTGTTCCCCCTGTACATCATGCCTAGTAGCTTTCCAAGGCGCACGGCATAGCATTGTGCATCCCAGTTTAGTCTGGTGTAGCACCTTTAGTCGTGTTGCTAGACATAGTATGTGTATGAGTTCCAATTTCTTTTTCGTGCGAATTTATTGTCAAAGTCTAGCGCATTTGTGCCTGCTTTGTCTAGAGCTCGGCCCAAGTTCTGCTTTCAGTGTTATGTAAAAAATGTCGCAACTGGCCCTTTTCCCAGTCCATTTTAAAGCACTTTTTCCAAGCAATAAAGTGATCTTTTCAAACATTACGAGAGCTGTGTTGAATACAAAAGACAGCGTCCAATGCCACCAAAAAAGTTATTCAAGCGACCTCAAAAAAAGTTTACATATTTTTTTAGTAATTATGCTTATTAGTTTCTTGTTAGATTCATTAGGCTGTCTCATTGTGTACAGGATTTTCAGGCAAGTACTAGAAACTACACCTAGAATCTGAAAGCAAAAATTATTTGGCATTGCTGTCACACTTGGCACAGGCGACGGCGACTACAAGCATGTCGCAGGCATTTTCCTTTGTTTCCATCGTTGCATTCAATCCAGTACAGTTGGCTTATTGTATTTTAATTGATTTCTGTTTAATAGTACTCTTTCATTGTATTTTTTATAATACCTCCACTACGTGTTTTAAAATAACTTCAGTTTCTTCTTAAAGCCCAGCCTAAAAACTTTTGCATTTGTCAGTGGAAGAGGGAGGAATTTTGTAGGAGCTTAAGTGGAGCGAGAAAATCTGGATTTAATGCAAAATCTTGGGGTTGTCTGAATATTCGAATTTTAGAATAGTCGTTTCGAATACTACGGTATTCGACATTCGCTTTGAGATGAACTGCTATATTCATACTTTCTGAAGTGTTCATCACGGTGAGTTAGCCCCCGTTGAGCGTATTTCTCACCGAACACCTGTATGCTGCGGGGAAGCAGTACTTGCAAAGCTAGCAGGCTCTGCTGGTATTGCTTCCCCACTGCACGCACACGCTCGGTGAGAAGCATACTCAATGGACCTAACACAGAATGTGTATTAATAGCCGATTTTCATGGAGTTCTGTAACGTTTGGCTGTAACAAAAAAGTGACTCCGAAAAGCGTTACTCCCATTGAGAACCATATAAAAAGACTCCCGTCCTCGACATGATTTGAACTTCCTAACTTGAGATTGTGAGCCGAGTGCTTTGCCGACAGAGCAATCCAGGGCCGCTGGTCAGATCATGTAGAAGCGAAGTCCTTGGCGCAGCGCACATGGGAGCAGCCGTTTGATGCACCCTTCTCTTCTAAGGCATAGCACACATTCTCAGCTTGCCAGTCTTTTTTCAGTTTATTCAAGCTTGTATAATTTTTTCTCTTTTATTTTACTAATTTGACATAGAGGAAATATTTGCATATAGCAAGCAAATTTGTGAATCCTTTCGATTATTATAGCTGAAAAAATTGTTTGTTTACATGCCACAGTTCTTATACTTACATTAAAATTAACTGAGCTTGAAAGTAGAGAAGTGGAAAGTCTGGAACAATTTTAGGAGCTCAGCTGAATTTTCGTTTAAGCATGTTGCACGGTAGCAAAAGAGTTGAAAGTATTCGATATTTGATTAAAAAATATTCAACCTAAAACATTATTCGCTTCAAATTCGAAATCTACCATTCGCACATACCTACGAAAACCAGCCACATTAGAAGTACTCAGTGGAGCTGCAGGTTGACCTCTAAAAAAAAGCAAAAAGGTGCTTGAAAAAAACAAACAAAAAAAACGAGTTAGATGTGAATTCTAGCATATTTTTGTCCCGTGAATTTGAATATCACGAGCGTTTAACCAAATCGTATCGATAGACGCAACAAAAATCTGAAACGGCTGGGTGTGATGTCGTACCCAAAGGTTTCAGTTGCCTTGTGAGGGAACGCGTGCAGTGCTTTTTCCTGCTTGGGCACGGCTTGCGGAAACCATGGATATGTTGAGGTCTCTGTAGAAAGGCCCGTTCACACTCTTGCGACCTCTTACCACTGGGTTTCTTGAAACCTTTTACGAGAGGACACACTGACGCCATCTATTGGGTAGCACTGTAAACTTCTCTCGCGCATTATCCTTTCTTTCTTGGCTCGAAAAACTTTTGTGAAGGTTATAAACGAGCCTTTTTTATAGGTATTGCACGCATTTGACCTCGGAAATACCGCAAAAGCTTCGCTCTTGTGAAATGCAGTTCCAGGGTCACCTCATAGATGGTGCCAGCGTGCCAGTGTGTTCTCTCGTCCTAAGAAATTTTAAGAGGTTTTAACAAGTCTCGTCTCTCTCGGTCGTACTCGGTTGCAAGAGTGTGAAAGGGCCTAATAGGTCACAATTGCCTCCTTGCACCGAACGCAGCGGGAAGGAGGGGCTTCAGCGCCATTTTGAAAGCACTTTTGTGTCTACTTGGCGGATCAACCTGAAGTATCATTTTGATATTCGTAATTCTGGAGGCCAAGTGAAGACTATTTAAGTGGGTACACCACCCAAAAGGGTCATCTTTTGAACCTTTGGTTTAATATGAAGGAAATTTGCAGTAAATACTGGCAGTTGCAGGACAGAATACAGTGAAAAGTTTTATTTGTGTACGTGAATTGTAAAATAAATTATAGTCAATTTTATCAGGAACGTGCTGTCATTGTTTAGGAAAACTGTCGTTTAAAAATTAACGAAAGACTCAACATTTTTCTTCATTAGAGGCGCAGCAGAATGCCTGGAGAGTGGAACTGCGAAAATTAAATTTCCAAAAAGTAATTTATTTCATGTTAACATTACGCCGAAAAACATAAATGTTTTGCCATTTATGTTGTCGACAATATCTTAACATATTTTCTAAACAACATCTTCAAAGTAGAAAGAGAATTCCGCAGTTGCATTGCCCAGGAAATTTCAGCTACGAAAAACAGAGAGCGAGTCTTTCCCTTTGTCCCGTCACCAAATGATAGTTTTCCTAAAGTGAAATTTATGCCAGAAAGTGGAATTGAAAAAGACATGTTCAGAGTGCTTGAACCTTCTCTTTAGCACGGTTGAACCGAAAATAATTTATAAAAAAAAAATAACTATGCAGTGTAAACAAATGAAATGTTCTGAGAATACTTTCTAAATGTTTGGGGATGTAAATATAACATTTTTCTGAATTGACTTTTTTTTTGCAGAAATTTTGATTTCTGGGTAGTGTCCCCCTTAAGGCAACTCTGCTTCATATTTGTTTTTGAATAAACAATGCAGTCCTCTTCAGTATCACCTAGGAAGACTGCAAGTCAAATATTACGACGTAGTTCTGTCTAAATATTTCTTAAAAAGTCCGGCAAACTTTGCAACTCGGAATCGGCCGACTCGAGCAGGCGAGTTGAGGCTCAGTCAATGCTACGGCGTGGGCGAAGCCACCATTGAGCTAAACGTCGTCACCATTGCCCCTATTTGCTTATTTTTACTTCTCCGGGCAGGCGTAGCGAGTGACGTCGGCATTGTTTCCTCTCGGCACTCAGCGGTGTCCATGTGATTGGCGTAACGCGCCTGTACAGCGCGCTTCTTTGGAGCCGTCTGGCTGTTCTACCGTTGTCCTGCCGTTACCCACGTCGCAGCCGCCGTCGTCGTCTCACCATTCGTGATTATTGTCTTTCGGAGTTTCGTCCACACTACGGACACTATGTGCGCATACTTATGCCGCAGTTGTGCAGACGTCGTCGAATGTCCTAGATACCAAACGTGGTGAAGAGAGTGGTGCAGACGACACTTGCGCCTGGCACGCATCTACCCCAATACCATCCGTCATTGCGTAGAGGATGACATGATTTCCTCGTACCACGTGGTAGCCATGTTCTTGGCGGCTCGAGGCCATTTTGCCGGATGGAACCAAAGTTTCGGTTTCAATTCCTGCTCGTGTTTAAAATTAGATTAAAAAAATATATGTATCCCATTTTTCGCGAAGCAAGTGACATAGTGTCTTTTACTGGGGCTTTTTAATGAGAAACCAGTCATTATCCCGAAATCTTTGGAATTGAGCAGGCTTGCCCTTTAAGTGTTTTTTTTTCAAATACAGAACTGCCTCAGTTTCCTTTTAAGGAGACCATGAAACAATATTGGGTTTGAACTCTACTAACTGCATATCTTGGAATGGGACGCAAAGGAACTATACGTCCTAATCCTAGCATAGGTTACCAAAAACAATGGCCTGTCGGGTCCCATCATGAGCCAGTTCGAAGGAATACGTCGCATGGTTTCTAAAGGCCCGTCCACACACTTGCGACGTCTTAGAACCGGAGAGGCTAAACACCAGTTTTTAAGCCTTTTGTTGCAGCTTACGGCCGACTCAGAGCAGCCGGTCGTAAGCTATCGCAAGAGGCTTATAAACTGGTCATGTCCAAGACGGTCTTAGTCAAAAGCAAGTGTGCGAACGGGCCTTAGCTGGCACATAATTGAACCCGATGAACAACAGCTTTGGGTGTAGCATATGCTAGGATGAAACAAAGTACAGCTACAAATGAAGTTTCCACCGCAAGATTTTTAAAATAAGAAATTACTATTTTTTTTCTTTTTAATTCTTTATTATTATTTGCTTGTGTCCAAACGGATAACCGCATATTGCATCGGACACGAGCGCCATGCAATTGGCCAACTTGCACTCCGTTCTCAGACAAATATTTGGGTTTGCATTTGTGAGCAATTGGTGCAGTGGTGGAAATCATCGAAGCTCATTGGTCTCCAGAGGGCAACACATGCTTTGAGCACCGTCAAACCCAAGCATGTTGCTGGGACAAACGCTGGCGGTACGTGCCCGCAAAAGAACTCCCAGCAGTTCCGGGCACAAGTTGAGGAGGGCAGAGGAACGAGGGAAGGCAGGGCTAGATTTTCTTCCGCATTCTTTGCAACGGCTGATGTGTGGGGCTAAAAATGAATACATGCCTTATGCACTGTTTTCTTTAGGCCTCACGGAGTAGTTTTTAAAAAAGACGCGGAAGCTACATCAATGCGGTCTGTGCATGCGAGTTATACGGCCAGAGGGTCATAATAGGGGGGACTAATCATCGTGATAAGTTGGATAATTAACTAAAATCTGTTAATTACCTTTTTAACTGGTGTAAATAAACATTAATTATTAATAATAGTAATGAATCTATTTATATGTATAATTACTCACCTTGACTTTCATTTTGTATCGTAGCTTTTGTGCTCTTTTCGTGCTTTATTCTTTCTTTATTTTGCTTTGATTGACGACATTGGGTGCATCCGCGATCACATTTCATTTTTCCGTGTTTTGCTG